TCTAATTATCGTCAGCTACTTAATTTGAAATGTATTATTCATATTATCTTTTTATACTTATATTATTTCTTTAATTATTTATATTAATATTTATAATGTATCAATTTATTCTATTTATAAATAATGAACTGCTTTTAAATATTTATAAAGAAATTATTATTATTATTAAATTCTAATTATCGTCAGCTACTTCATTTTTGAAATAAATAAATAAAATTCTCTTCTTTAGCGTTTAGCATTAGCATTTTTCAGACTGATCAGGTTGTCTGTAAGCGTTAGGAAGTATAAATAGGAGAAGAAAGATGAAGCTCCACGTCCAGCACTGGAAGGTCTTTAACCTCTACTAAATCTGTGGTGATGATGAGGATCTCATAACTAAACTAACCAGTACATGAGGAGACTCATAACCTGGCCTGACATTAACCGTCAACTAAACTGATGTGTGTTTCGTTTTGTGTCTTTTTCCAGAGAGTACTCCCATCCGAGGTAAGACATCACTATAAAACACAACTAACCTTAACCTAACCACTAACTAATGACTCCAGACCAGCTCAAACGGGACGGGCTGTCCTCCTCCTCCTCTTCTTTCGTTCTGTGTCAGTGTGTGTGTGTGTGTGTGTTTGTGTCTGTTAAATAGGAGAAGAAAGATGAAGCTCCACGTCCAGCACTGGAAGGTCTTTAACCTCTACTAAATCTGTGGTGATGATGAGGATCTCATAACTAAACTAACCAGTACATGAGGAGACTCATAACCTGGCCTGACATTAACCGTCAACTAAACTGATGTGTGTTTCGTTTTGTGTCTTTTTCCAGAGAGTACTCCCATCCGAGGTAAGACATCACTATAAACACAACTAACCTTAAGCTAACCGCTAACTAATGACTCCAGAGCAGCTCAGACGGGACCGGCTCTTCGCCTTCTCTTCTTCCAGCCTTCATTCTGTGTCCGTGTGTGTGTGTGTGTGTGTGTGTGTGTGTGTGTTTGTGTCTGTGTGTGTGTTTAATGTCAGTGTTGGGAGTCAGACAGGTGTCGGGTTGCTGTTTACCTTCGTCTGTGACATTTGCGCTCGGCCGCGCGGTTCACGCTAATGACGACGCTGCTTTCCTCTCAGTCCTGCTCTCATCTCCAGTGCCAACGCTAACGTTACACAGACGATAGCAATAGTTCAGCTACGCTTTGCAGCTCAGATGTGCGGTTTGGAGGTGATATCAGGACTGATGTTCTCCTGATCTAGATCCATGTTCATGTCATTATATCTGAAGACTATCTGATGTTTCTAACTTCAATAAAGTGCCTCTTTTTTTCACAGCGAGCAGGTAGGTACACATCATACATTTGATTTTACATTAATATTGTGGGTGAACAAAGGGTTAACAGCTACACTTCAAATCTTAATTATCTCAATAACAGTTTTGCACTGCTTTTCATTTTGTATGGTCTTTTCCTTTGTTCAGATGTTGGTCAATTTTGTATGTTTACTGGTGCCCGCATTGATTGAGATTGTTCATGTTCACCTTAAATAGTTTATTTAGTTTGCAATATCATAAACATTGCGATACGTGTCATGATTCAATATGCATTACAGTATAATCACTGAATCGCAAGTGAACGTAATTATATATATATATATATATATATATATATATATATACACACACAACACACACACACAAAATATATTTTTCTTGCATATTGATGCATATAGATTGATGCATTGAAGATAAAGTGTCATGTAAACCATTTTTGGTGTTGCAAGATTTTTATAATGAGCTGATTTTTGTCAGAGAGAGAAAACTAATGCAACCTCACGTCCATTGTGTGTGTGTGTGTGTGTGTGTGTGTGTGTGTGTGTGTGAGACGGCAATAGAAAAATATTAATGGTGCACAGGGGGGAATGATGTAACATCAGGTAAAGGATATACAATATTATAAAATGTTATGTAATATATATATATATATATATATATATATATATATATGTTCAAATTTAATTTTTAATTTATATTGTAATTCATTTTGTATGGAATATTATATATTATCTATAATTTGTATATTTTTTACATTTTCAATATTTTTTCAATCAGAGTAAAACACATTTTTTGACAGATACGTTTGTTAGTACATTAGTACAGCAGCTAGTAAAGTTTCCAGCCTAAAAGCTCTTTCTTAGATTACACACACCAACGTAAATATATATATATATAGCAAAAACGCAGCACATTAATAATTTTGCTGCTCGCTTAACTGAACGTGACTTATAACGCAACATTTGCATAATGGGATTAGTGATCCAAGACAGAGCCCTCGCCCAGGGCGGCTTCTGCAAACTCAGGCCCAGTCTGGGCTAAATGTGCCGGAGCAGAACAGTTACGCCGTGCTTTCGGGCTAAATCACAGCACGCGCGCTCTGATTGGTTAGCGACTCGGTCGCGTGTTTGCATGTGCTGCGTAAACATTCTTAACTCATGCCGGTTTGGTCTGCCTGAGTTTTGACCTGTGCACCGCTAAATGACAATCAGCGCGGCCCGTTCCATGTGTGCATGCATCATTGGCGTTTTATTCGAGCGCTACAAGCGATGCTCTCGCATTTAATGACCTTGGTGTGTGTCAGTACACAAACACACGAGTCCTACAGTCATTGCACAACAGCTTTTTAAAGCAAAAGTCCCTTTTTTTCACATTCCCTTTATGCATATATTTAGAGGTTTGTTTGACATAAAATATGAATAAGAAATATAGGAGAAGAACCGTGTAGAATAAAAAAGTTATTGAAAACTACACATTATATGCCATATGCTGCCGGCTTTAGTTTAAACTGTAAAATATAAAGTATAATACTGTAGTATGTTGACATTTCAAAAATACCTTGAGTATTTTTTTAAAGTATTTTTTATTTGATTTCCGGTAAAAAAAATTAAATAAATATTGGATAATACATAAAACAAGATAAATGTCCTTGGAACAACACTGCATCAGATATTTAGACTTGTTTTCATAAATTAGATCTTGATTATATGTGTATTGAAGATGCAATTTATAAAAACACCCCTTTAATATCTCATGCAAAAAAAGTGTCAACATTTTGGCAATATAGTTACATCTAAAATATTTAGTTATTTGAAATTATAAGTTATTTGCACATATTTAATTCAATTTCATTTGAGGATGTCTTAACTTTTGTTGGATCAGTCGAAAAAATATATAATTATCAATTATATGTT